ATTAAAATTTTAAAAATGAATTGAAAACTTATTTGATAATCCATAAGAGTAGAAATTAAACTACAAGATATATATAATTTTTTATTTAAAAAAAGTAAATATTTTTTATATATAAATTCAGATAATGATGAATTGGTGAAAATAGCAAAAAAGTATCAAGAATACATGAAGCAGTTTCCAATTCATTGTGATGGATTTCGATGTAGCGCAGTTTCCAATCACCGGAGACAGAAGAGGCACGAACAATATCAGATAGATCATCCAAAAATGTCATAATCTTTAGTGACACGTCGTGATTAAGTTAGTTCAAGAAATCCAGAGGAGTTCCCATTCTTACAAACGATGCCTACCAACTCGGTTAAAATTCTTCTTCTAAACTTGAATTCCTGACACAGTATCAAAAATTCAAAACAAGCAAAGTTTGAACAAAATTTATTTAAAAAAAAAAAACCCAAAAAGTAACAGATAAAAAAAAAAAAATCATGGGGTATTCGAAATTAAAATAGAAATGCAGCAAAATTACTGAATTCTGCAAAGGAAGAGACTAAAACAACAAACTGGGTAATGGAAAAGGGGAAAAAGAGGGAAAAGAAACACGGGAAGGACAGAGCTTTGGAGAAGGAAAAGGAGAAGGGAAGGGAAAGGAATCAAAGTTAAGAATTTTATCACCTCGTCAGAAACCCTAGAGGGAGAGAATCGACGAATAAAGAAAGGTGATGAGAATGGAGATGCTCACCTTTTCACTGTTCTATACTGCTGCGCTGTGTCCTGTTCTGTGGCCGAGGAAAGGTAAGCTGTGGATTGTGATGGATTTCGATGTAGATTAGTTGACGAAGATGACCGGAGGGTGGATAATCATGGTGGTTGTTAGCTGTTGGCTGCTGTGGTGTGGTGGTGAGTGGTGGTTGCGGACTGTAGAGGACAGCAACGGACTTGCAGAGGCTGGAGGAGGAGCTGACCTGCGATAGGAACAGAAGAAAATTGAGTTAGGGTTATGAATTTTTTAATTTTGGTTAATTTTTGAATTAAAAAAAGGTTAATAAGGAAATAACGATAAAATGGGTAAAATGTAAAAAACATTAAAAAAAAAAAAGTAAACAAGAATTTTCAAAACAGCCCAACCTAGGAATTGATTGGATTAATTCCTAAGTGTTTCAGTTTTTTAACACTATTTATATTTCATAAATTTAAATTTTTTTTTAAGATTTATATTTTTAAATATTTTTTTAATCTCAAAAAACTCTTAAACAGTAAAAATTTAAAAGTTTTAAATTTAAACATTTTATAAATTTTTTTTACTTACTTTTTACTCACTTTTTCACTTTTTTAAAAGTTAAAACTCTATTTTTTTAAATAAAAATTTAAATTTATTATTCATAATAATACTAAAAAAACAAAAACTCTCACAAACTAT